ACACAGAAATGGAAGAACTCTGATTACTGTATAAGAGACGTAACCTCATCTCCTTCTTTGAGTAGCAACCCTGTGTGTGCTCCACTTCAGGTGATTGCTAAGCAGGACCCCCAGCTGGAGGAAGGACTTTGGAGTCAAGTCCAAGATGAAGATAACACAGTATTTCCAACAGCAGCAGCTGACCCAGAAGACTGGACTACGTTTGGAGAAGATATGTATGGGAGACCAAGTAGAAGCCTTACAAATATGCAGAATAGGGACATTCTTGAGTAAGTCACAGATGTAGGTAGAGGTCCAGAAGGATGCTGTATGTCTGAAGATTTATAGTATAATATGATACAGTCAGAGGTCCTCCTGGAAAGTCATTGGGTGGAAATTGCCAAACTTTTGGTTCTCTCTCCAAAGGCCACAATCAGCCTGGGTGATTTCCTAAATGACTTAGCTCTGTCTAAATCAATGTTTCTCAAAATGGTCCATGCAACCACTCTGAGGAACCTGCTAACTAGCCGCTCCAGTGTGTTTATTTACCGGCTCCACAGCCATGGAGCCTCGCGGTTCCCATTGGCTCCAGTTTGCTATTTGCAGCCAAGGGGAATTGTGGCAAGTGGCAGCCCAGCCCAGCCCACACTGCTTCCAGTGGCTCCACTTGGCTGCAAATGGTGAACAGGAGCCAAGGAGAGCGGTGAGGCTCCATGGCTGCAGAGCTGGTAAATAAACACACCAGAGCGGCCAGTTAGCTGGTTTCTCAGAGTGGTTTTGCGGACTACTTTGAGAAACACTGGTTTAAATAAAAGGTTAACACTCTCTGAATACCCAAAGTGTATAAAGAACCTTATCTCTGGACTGATGAAGTTTGGGGGAAAATGGAAGGTGGATAACCTGATTAATGTGAAACTCAGACAACACCTTGGGCAGAAATTTAGGGTGTGGAAGTAATCAAACATTGTCCTTGAAAAGTCTATAAATAGAGGCTCTTTTGGTATAAAAGCCCCTATTTTTCCCATCTTTGAGCCACAAAAGAATTGTCTTCTGAGATAAATTGAGGAAAGATTGAACCTGGGGTTGAAAAGGGAGAGCTCATAATGCATCTAGGTATGAAATTAAAATCCCAGCTAGGTAGGGAATTCTTAACATAAGAAAAAAGCTTCCCAAGTCCACTCAGAAACTGTGGAATGGGTGAAGACTTGAGAATCCCCCAATCACTAAATGAAAGACTATTATTGCTGCCAAGTAAACCTCGCAGAACCCAGAGGTAACATTATTTTTTTAGCTTTAGGAAGTAATCAAGGTTGATTGAGAGAGGAGAATGAAAAAGAGGAACACCTTTCTGGACAACTCACAGGCTGAATCTTCTCAACTTGAGTTAGTAAGTCTCTCTCATGGACTCTCTCTCCTGTTCAACAATATCAGTTGAACCTTTTTAGAGCACGACAGCTCCAACAAGGAGCCAAGCTTTAAGGTGAATTATCTTCAGGCTGAGATGAAGACTATGGCCAGTGTCCTGGGAAAGATAAAGAGGAACGGGATGGGAGCCTACTTGCCTGACAAACCACTAGGTGAATAAGGTAAGGATATCAGGTCTGTCTGGGCCTTGTTGGGACTATTAATATAATTCCATCTTTGTCATATCTTATCTTGTTGATCACCTTTAGAATCAGGGGTGTTGGTGAAAAAAGAACATAGAAGGTGTCTTGTCTGTGGAATGATGAAGGTGTCTCCCAAAGAACACCTTACCAATGCTTTAACAAAAAGTCTTTGTGTTACCTCTTGGTCACTGTGGAAAGGAACTCTATTTCTGGAACTCCCCACATTGGAAAAATTTGACTGAAAAGTTGAGGATTCAACTCCCATTTGTAATTCTGGAGGAAATGTCTGCCGAGATTGTCTGCTAGACTGTTCTGTATCCTGGGAGGTAAACTTCTGAAATAAGGATGGAATTGACTATTCACCAGTTCAGAACTTTACTGATTTAGCACAAGGAGAAGGGGACCTGGCTCCTTATATCAGATGATATAGAACATACAAACTCCATTGTCTGTGAGAATCTTTATGGACTTGTTCCTGATTACAGGCAGCAAATAGATGCAGGCATTCCTAACTGCCTTCAGTTTGAGGTCACTGATGGTAGTCATGTCTCTTGGATAGACCATTTGCCCTGGACAGCGAGGGTTCCCAAATGCACCTCCAACCCACCAGAGATGCAACTGTGGTGAAAGGAGGAGGTTGAACAAAGGTGTAAGCTGCCATGTGCTTGGATAATTGAAGAGAGCTTTTTATTGTTGTCCGTGGACTGACTGGCTTGCATCTTTGAGATGATGCATCTTTGTACAAGAATCTGTTGGGATATGAGAGGGGTAGATAAGCTCTAACTGATATAGCTCCCAAGTAGATTCCTATGAACACTCTTCTTTGTACTGTGATAAAAATGGATTTTGATGTTGAGCTGCACTCCCGGCTCACAGAATAGGGATATCATTTGTCCCTAAAGGAATTCTACATCACTGCACAATGCAGAATTTTGTAGAAATTACTGTGCATGCAGAATTTCCTCCCCTGCTACCACAGAAATGGCCTGTAGAGATATTGGTAGCCACGAGGGGCCACTGGACCTGGCTGAGCTCAGCTCACACATAAATGACAAGGCTGGGGGGAGAGGGTGGGAACTGGAGAGTTCCCACCAGTTACAGTTCCCAGCATGCCCCGAAGGAAGAAGGCGGTGGCAGCAGGAGACCCTGAACAAGCCTGGGATCTACTATTAGGCTATTTCTTCCTCTGGATTCCTGGGTCTGGGACAGTAGCACGTGTAAATGACTGGCTGGGAGGGGCAGCTGAGTGCTGAGGGGGAGGGGATATGAATGTCTGGGCTGGGGCAGGGAGCTGTGGCTGGGCTCTGTGGGGGAAGGAGTAGGAGGGTCTTGGCTGTGGGAAGTCTGCTGCTTGCCTTTGGGGGGTAGAATATGTGAGTGTCTGGGCTGGCAGGGCATGCGGCTGGCAGCTAGAGTGGAGGAGGCAGAGAGACAGAAACTGGGTTGTCATAGGGGTTTAATTAACTCTCTACTCCAGGGGGAATTTTTGTGTGTCTGCATTGTTACAGACATACTTGCCAACAGGTATTTTGAAATACCAAAATAATTGAAACTGGTGTGATTATATAGTGTTATTTTGACAAATAAAATTTGCAGAATTTTGCAGAAGTTTAAAATACAGTGTACAGAATTTTAAATTTTTGGTTCAGAATTCCCTCTGCAGTAATCGTTGCCTCTAGGGGGGATGTCAGTGTGTAGTTGAC